TTTTGACTTTTACTACAGGTATTGGAACAGGTAGAATCTGGGCCGGTTAGTATGAATTTGATTGCTCGAATAAAAAATCATCCATATTATGAATCAAGACAGATGGTTAAGGAACTGCTGGAATCAATTATTGCAGCTCAGCCACCCGCTGTCCAGGAACAAGCGACTAAAGTTATACAACAACACTCTCAGGTACGGTCTGTTTTGTTTTGTGCTAAACCTGTGACAGTTATAACTTGTCCCATCGGTAGCCTTGTTAACAATTTTGCTCAAATATGTCTCCAGTTATCAAGTACTTCATATTTTCCTAATTTGTAAAATGCGTTATTTTACTTAATAATACGATTTCATCGCGTTTGGGCTTTTTAATGCAGGATCTTCTCCAGAAGCAGCAATTGAATGCTAGCACCAAGAAGGAAGTTGAAGCTGAAGAAAAGAAAACAAAAAAGAATGAATCGGCTGAAAGCGGTACAACTGTAACTGCAAATGTTCGGGCGCAAAAGCCAGAAGCCGGTGCCAAAGAGTTGACAAAACCACAGCAGAGGACCATGTTTGAAGGAAGAACGTGGCATAGTGTGGAGGTAAGCTGTTGTTAGCTAAGTTTAAATTTTTTCGTTACCACAGTTGTTTCCTTTTGAAAAACTATGTTTACTTGCTCAGGAAACGTAGCCTAATATTTTTAAGTCTTTAGGTTGGTTTCGATCCTGATGAGGATATGGAAACTGGACAGGATAGTCGTCGTCAATCAGTTAATACTGACGCTACTGAAGAGACAGTCCAGGTTCGGAAACAATTGCTTGAATTTTTAGCCTCTTTGCTTAATTAGAATTGAGACTTTTAAATCATGTTATTTTTGTTTGAAAAGAAAGATACTGGTCGTAAATAAGGAATTCTGAACAATTAAGATGCATTTTAGAAAATTTATGAAAGATAAGGAAAAACTAAAGCAAATTGAGTAAAAATGATTTGATTAGTAAGAATTCTGATAGCATTTTTAATGAATTTCGCCATACGTCTAATAGAGAGATTACGTATTCAAATTTCGACAAGAGCTATATACCGGATATTTGGAAACAAATATAATGCAAGACATCATTTTTTTCACCGTTCTTACGAAACTGTTTTTTCCTCTCTTTTCCTCAAATTTCCCTTTATAAGTGTTTGCTTTTTTACTTGTTAAACAAGTATTTTTTTCAATGAAGATGGCAGAGGTGCAACTGGTTTTTAAAACTCTATGTTATTCTTTTAAAATTTTGTAAACGGTTCTGAATGAAATGAACTCAGGAAACATAAATTGTTTTTTATTTTTTGCAAGAAAAAACGACTTTTTTATTTATCAACTTATAAACAGACGAAGAACTACGTTTGACCAGAAAGACAAGAAGGGTGCGTGTTTTCGCACATAAGTTTTAAATACTTTGAGTGAATTGCAAATTAGTTGAATTATGTTTAATGAGATGCAGAAGACGGCAAGTGATATGAGTTGATTAGATTCTTTCTAAGTTGACAAGTCTTTCTGCACAACTCAGTGTCTTCGCAACAATTCAAGTCGCTCTGTTGCACAAATTTCAATCGTGAATTTACTTCAGCACAGTCCCCACACTCATGCAACATGTTGACGAGGAACGCACGAAGATTTTGTAACAGTTCCATCACAGTAAGACCAACATTAGTTTAAAATTTCAGGACACTTCATTTGAGGATGAGAGTGAAGAGGAGCTTCAGTTTACGAAAACCGAAAGGAAATCGCAAGAGGAGAAAACTGCAACACCAGATGCAACAAATGATGAGAGAGCTGGTCGTCAAACTACCGAAACGGGTAATGAGGTTATTAATAAAGTCAAAAAGCCGGATCATGATGATGAAGGAGATGAAGAAGAAGAAGAAGAGGGAGAAGAAGAGGACGAGGCGGAAGATGAAGAGGAGGAAGAGGAAGAAGAGGAAGAAGAAGCTGTCGGTGAATATCACGCTCAGATTGATGCACTTGGCAAGGAAGTAGAACAGGTGTTGTTTGGTCAATTTTCTGCTTTTCGTTTCACAACACTAAAGAATTAAGACGACATTGCAAAAACTAATATTTTCCTACTATCGGGAATGGCAAAAGTTCAAGTTCAAAAGCTGGCGTAAAGAACGACGGATTAACAACAGTTCTTTCTGATGGAGCTTCTAGTAAGCTGTCCACCAGCGCTGCTTACAATAGTCTGTTTTCGCAGTGGCTTTTTATTCCGCATTTGTGACCAGCAAAGATTTTTCTGCATTAAGTGGTAGCAATGAAAGTGAAAGTGGTGTTTCGAGACAGATTCTTTCCACTGTTTCTTTAGCGCAGTTAGCTTTGCGAAGGTCTACTGGTTTTTTTTCAGAATAGAATGCTGAAAAAGTACCAGTCTGGGATCTGTTTTTTTTTGCTGGAACAGCAGGCTTTAGAATTCTTCGTTGTATACACAACTGTGTGGCTTCTTTAAATTTTTTTAAAGACAGTGACTCTCTAGGCTTTAGTCACACATCAGAAAAATCAAAAGGGGAGTACAGCATACAGTCACTAATTTTTGTGACAAGTGACCTTTGCACATTTTTGACCAGTACTGTTTGTAACTGCTTTCTTCAAAAAGCAGGGGAGTAAAACGAAAGTTTTTTTTAATTTTGGAAATTTAACACTTTGCATTCATAATGTTCGGTTTTCTCAATTTTTTCAGTAAAGTTATAAGTTAGACTTTTGCAGAAAAGTTAATATATGAAAATTTTGAAGATTGTATTCACATTTTTTTTTAAATTTTAAAAACAGGTTTGTTTTGGCAGCAATACTTTAAATACCAACTTAAAACAAATTTCTCAAGCATAAACCTTATTTGAATAACCTTAAGTTTTTGAAACAGTAGTTATTTTAATACCTAAAGGAAACTCTGACTAGTTGTAAAATAAACCATTAAATGATTTAGGTTGAAGAAGACGAAGACAACACCTCATTTGCCAGTGCTGTGTCTCATGTGAACAGCGAACCGAACCCTCCTCCAGATCCACCTTCACAGTCCAATGGATCGCAATTTCTGGAGCCGTTTGACAGAGGTTTAATCAAACGTCAAAGCAAAGGAAAATATCAGGTTCTGGCAAACCCACTAATTTTTTCACTCTATTACCAATACCGTAATTGCTTCTTGACCACACGCGATGATCGCTGACTTGCTTACCTGTTCTTTAGCAGCGGTGGTTTAGTAATTTGAGGATATTGAATTACTATCCGACATAACGAAAGATTTTCTGTTTTAGCATAGTAAAGTTGAACATTATGGAAGAGGTGTTTCGACGGAGTGTGAAAGTCCAACTTTCATGCACCGCCGGATTGGTGGTCCACAACCAACAATTGAAAGATCACCGTTCTTATTCGACAAAGTAATACACGTTTTGTTCTTTATCTGATTCTTGAATCCGACTTATTGAATTTAACAAGTTTATAGCTTATCCAAATTGGAAAAAATAATGTCGACTGTGTCAAAAAACTTTTCAAATACACTTTTGCGACAGTAAAACTGTTAGTGCGACATTGAAGTTTTTAGTCTCTGTTTAGGCATTCATCTTAATTGACTTTATTTTCTTCTTTTCAATTTGACTGTGAAGCGTAAAAAGCTAAAATTGACAATCTGTTATAATAAATTTCGGAACTCTTTCGGTTTATTAACCTTAATTTACCTTCATCCATTGATGCCAGTGAACACTACTTGTAATACATGTGGCTGTGTTTTATTACAACCAATGAAAAGCAACGGGGCCAAAGAACTGAAACGGAACCTGAATTTTTTTATAAAAACTGGAAAATATGAAATGTTCACACTTTCCAGGCTAAAAGGTATATTATGACATACCCTAAATACCTTGATGACAGTGATGACGAATTTCCGGAGAAATTCAGTAAGAAAAATAAGGAGAAAAAAATGAACTGGTTAAAAACACAAGATCCGGACGTGCCAGAATCTAGTGTGGAGAATCAGCCCGAATCATCCAATCCATCTGCAAGGTACTGTCAACTGCTACTTGTTCTGTATTATTTGATGAGAACCTGATTAATGTCATTTTTGACCTTATTTTCCTAAGAAAGCCTTTGGATACTTTTTAGTCTCTAATTTCTGAAATTAATAACGTTTTTATCAAGGTTAGAAGCATTATTTTCAAACTGAAATGTTGCTTTTATTCGAGCGTTTCTTTAGTTTGGATAAATTCTCATCTGCGCGATCACAAGCTGTTGGTGGGACTAAGTCAGAAGATGAAGAAGTCTCAGGTTCAGAGGGCGAAGAGGAAGAAGAAGAGGAAGAAGAAGAAGAAGAAGAAGAAGAGGAAGAGGAGGAAGAAGAGGAGGAAGAAGAAGAGGAGGAAGTAGTTGAAGCAGAAGCGGGCAAGAAGGACAAAGAAAATAAACGAGACTCTGACCAAAAAAAAGCAGGTTCAAGCAGTTCTAGTCGTAAGGAAGACATTGATAGAAAGGATGAGAAATTTCATGTACAGCCTGCATTGTCTGCGCCAAATTCTCGTGACATCACAAACACCAGTCTGACATTTCCTCCGAATGCCACCAGTAAGTTTTAGTTAACAATCAACCCACATCGAGTTTTTTGCGTTCACGATTTATGTTTAGCTGTACAGTTCGTTTTCTTTGACACTGTTACACCAGTACTATCGTTTATTTTGTATCTTCCGCTTCTGTAAGTTGTTTGACGTCTTGGTTTCAATCACAGTTACAGCTGCTTGAATCACGTGGCCTTGCTTTCGCAACAACAGCACCTTCAATTTCGATACTTTTTATGCTCAGATATAAAATTTTGAAGAAAAAAACCTAAAAAAATTTGAAAAGCAACAATAAGCACTGCTTATTTATGTTTAATTAATAATGCTTTTCTTTTTTATTTCTGCTTACTAAGGAACAACAGTAAGTGAGGAGACGCTTGAAGTTGTAATCACAGTGCATCAGACATTTGTTTCAATATCGGTCACTAAAATAACCCCAATATTTTTTTTTCTGTTTGCATGTTGCTTTTGTTTTACTTTTTAGCCATTGGTCAGGCGACAGTTTCAATAGTTTTGAAAACACCACCACCAAAACGAAATTCGGTAATCTCAGCAATGCAAAGCGCACCAGCTAGCATACATAATACACCCTCACCAGGTAGTAATTTGTGCTTATTTCAGCGAATATATTTTGAGGTATGCTAAGTCTCTCAGATCGATTTCACTGTCTTGAGCTGCAAACGATATTCAGTACTGTTGTTTCTTTTTTTTTACTGCCTGCAGTAAATATGTATAAGGTAAAGCCACAGAAACCACAAATGACGGCGGCACAACTAGTCTGGTTGAAAATATATGAATGGTCATATGTGGTTTAGCGGTTCGACAAACTTCATTAACAAATGTGCTTGAGTTCTTGATTCGTTTGCCTGACTACATTCTCTGTCATTAAGTTCTGATATCTATCTGCTGATATGCGGTTAATAGCTTGAAAAACAAAGAAAAAACAGGATTTTTTACTAAAACTTGTTGAGCATTTGTATAATTTAGAGCCGAACAATACGGTACAAGTGGCAACCTCAAGTACAGAAGATTCAAAACCATATGTGCATGTGGGAGATTTGAAGGTTTCTGACTCTAAACCAGATCGCTTGCAGGTAAACTTCCTTGAAAAACCTCGTCCTTTTTTGAAGTTTATGTTTTCTTTCAAATTACTGTCTACCTATCGCTATCAGTAATCGGAAAAAAAGACAACAAAAAGTTGCAGACATCGGTTGTCCCTCTTAATTTTGGAGGCAATATTGCTGTTACAAAATCAGCGTTAGAAAGGAAAGCTACCGAAAGAGAAGCAAGAAGATATATTCCTCATCATGCAGAAAATGAACGCTTTTATCCAAGAAGCCCTTCACCAGCTACAGTCACACAGTACTGTTTTGTCTTTGTCGTTACAGAAATGAAAAATTTCGATCACTTTTTATATAAGGAGTACTGATTTAGAGATAAGCATGATGTTGCCGGTGAAACTGGAATTCAAGCTTGGGAATCTGCAGCTTCCTATATAAGAAGAAGAAACAGAGAACGACGACTAAGGAATCGAACGATTGGGACACCTGAAGATGTTTTGAGGAAGTAAATACCATTGCAGTTTATTATACTTCTTTATATTACGTTGTTTACTACAATGCAGTACTCATGATGATGTAACATGTAGGGCATATAAATCAGTTACGATATGCTAATATAAAATTCAGTGATATTGTATATATATTTTTTTATTTATTCATTTATTTATAATATCACTGGTTTAATAAACTGTTGTTTTATTGTAGTGTAATGGAGTATCGCGATTATGCTTCAAACGCTGGAGCAGGGTTGAACGCAAACAAAGGTAAATTACACTCTGGAAACGTTTTCATCTGAAAAGAAATTTAGTCACCGCGACCCACAACATAAAGTAAATTGCATATTTTGTTTTGAAAATAATTTTGATTCAGAGCGGTCCTCGGTTTCAGAAGCAGCCCCGTCGAACGAAGATCCGAATTTACCAGCTAGAGCAACTTCTCCGTTATCTGGAATCACTTTACGCAACCTAGGCACTACTGATCCGTTCTACCATCACACTCGCCCAGTTTCTATCGCAAGCACTAAAGATTCTGGTAATTCTGACTGCCCTTCAGTTACAATCACCTTATTTCTTTTCTTCTTTCAAAATTTTTTCTAAAAAATTTTATATTATTATATATTAATTATTTATATATCCTAATTAAGCTGATGCGAAAGCTACAAGATTTTTATCAAAATATTTATACTTTTAGTTATTAGTGGTAATCCTGCTGGCTCCTTGTTCAATTTTGTTCGACCCCGTTACCATGATGAAAGTTATCGGAGGCGAGATATTGAAAACGAACCTCCTTCTCCTTCTCGTTTTAACTTGGTAGGCGCAGTTACTGTTGCTGCTGTTTATCACTATACTTAATATCTTATGTTTGTTTTCTCGAAAAGGAACTTTATAAAAATTTTTAGCTATTTGCAGTGGACCATTGATTGCGGGAAGACATGTAGTGTGCAATATTCAACAGCAAAATGAATTTTCGTTTTAGGAAAACAATCAAACAACTTTGTCACATACTGATAAGAACAAGTCTAAATCCATTCATGATTTAACACCAGATCGGCCAGAAAGTACGGTTACGACGACAGCACACACTTCACCGTGGTATGGGACAGGAACAACTCATCATTACGGTGCACGTTATGAAAACGAAGTCATTTTCTTATTACATTTCTCTTTATTACTGAACTGTGAACGTTTCAAACTTGAATGGTTCATAATAAGCTGGACAACAATTTTTTAGCCTGTCTCTTCCTATATCGGTTCTTCGTTTCAACCTGAGAGCAAAAGATTCCATGTTTATCAAACAAGAGCCGAGAGGGAGGCTGAAAGGAATGCTGCGCTATCGTAAGAAACTCTTTAATAAGACTGGAAATAGACTGTTTTTCATACTGTGAAAAATCTATTTGTAGTGTTTCTTATTTCCACAAATCTAAATTTTTCAGGAATTTACATCCACCTTCAACGTTTAGGACAGGATCGGCTTGGTATACTGGAAATGATCGTCCCCTTACTTCATACACTCCAGGATCATATCGGTCTCGTTTTGACGACAATTTCATATACAGAAGAAGTGCTTATGACGTAGAACGGCCAAGTAAAATATTAAATTTGCTATTTACTTCCAAGCAGTAAATCACCTTAAATTATTAGAATTTTTTGGTTTCTGATAAGTGGGACATTCTTTAGCAACTCCAACTCCTATAGGAGAATCAACAAACTCTGGCACGACTGCTGCAAGTTCTTCAACGCAACCACCTCATGATCGTGGCGGAGGCGGAGTAGGAGGTATTTAGAGGACCGCAAAATTCTTCTTTTGACTTTTCTGAAAGTTTTCTGTTAATGACCGCTGAACGAATAGCTCTTAAAACAGTTTAAACTTGCAGGATTGTTCTCCAGATTTAGACCAGTTGCTAGAAGAGTTGCTTCTGCAGTTGGAAATTCTGAACGTCGTAATTCGCGCTCCCAAAGCATGGATCGAAAAACGTCAGCCACTGAGGATAACGAATATCGTGGTAAAAGCTCATTTTGT